TGTCAAACTGACATACCCTCTTTATTTTTATTTTTAATCCTCACTCGAGGATATCTTTTCCATTGCTTTTCAGAGAGAGTAGAAGGGGGGGGAGAGAGAAAAACATTGATTGGTTGCCTTTCGCACGCACCCTGACTGGAGCCGAGGATCGAACTTGCAACCGAGGTGTATTCCCTTGGCCAGAATCAATTCCGGGACCCTTCAGTCCACAGGCCAACACACTAACCACTGAGCAAAACCGGCTAGGGATGACATATCCTCTGTAAAGGTTGCAAAGCCCTGTGCTGAACTTTAGTGGGTGTTCCAGATACTACAGCAAATTTCCTATCTCCTCCTAGCTTCCTCTCTCCCTGAAGGAGAACATGAAGTTGTCACTCACTCAGATGAAGGAGGAAGGGGCCCCCTCGGTCTGGCCCAGTGGGTTCCATTAAGAGAAACCCGGGAGATAACCCACACCAGGGTGAGATGGGACCCTCCTGGGATAGGGGAAGTGGAGTGGGGGAGGCGGTGCTTGGGGAAATTCCCCAGCAGCAGCCAACATTGAGGATTGTTGGGTGAAGCCAAGTAGTCCTGGGCTTCAGGTGTTAATTGGATCTGGGTTTGCTCCTGATGGGCCCAGACCCTCTCCAGAGAGGGACTGGTCTCTGTTTACCAGGTGTCTGGGTTCTGGAGGTAAGAGATCACAGTCTAGTATATATTTGTATCACCATCACATCAGTGCTGAGAGATCTGACACTTGTTAGCCAAAGCATTCATTCATTCACAAGTATTTATTGAGCAGCTACTGTGTGCTAAGCACTGTTCTAGGTTCTGGATACACAATAGCAAATAAGTTCACATTCTAGAAGGGAGAGGCAAAAAGTAAAATATATAGTATATCAGATGTGGTAAGTTCTCTGAAAATAAACAAATAAATTAATTAATTAATTAAGGCACTGAAGGGAAATGGAAATGTGGAGGTGGTATTGTAACTTCAAATAGATTGGTCAGTGGGATCTTATTGAGATGACATTTAAGTGAAGACCAGAAGGGACTGAGGGAGTAAGCCATCCAGATATCTGGGGGAAGAACATACCGAGAGAACTGCAGATGCAAAGACCCTGAGGAAGGAATATTCCTAGTTTGTTTAAGGATCAGCAAAAAGTTGATGCCAGCAAGACTTAAGTAAGGAGAACAACAGGAAGTGAGGTTAGAGCAATGACAGGATTTGACTGGTAAGGATTTACAAACAAGTGTAAGACCTTGGATTTTACTTGGAATGAGTGGAAAGCCATGGGGAGAGGGAATGAACAAGGGAGTGACATGATTTGATTAAGTCTTAAAAGAATCACACTGGCTGCAGTAATGAGAACAAGACCTAGGCAGGCAAGGAAGGAGGGACCACTCTTCCATCTTGTTCCTCTCCACAGGACAACCATGATGGCCACCTGATGGCCTCCCCTGGCCATGTGCTGCTACCATCCGCCCCCCGTCCATCCCCCTTTGGATTAGCTCAGCGTGTTCCCTCCCCTGGTTCCTCAGCTCCGGTTTGTACCCATAGCTTCTAGGGGCTGGGCAAGGGCAGAACAGTCTGGCTGGTATCCCTGCTAGATCTAGGTTTTGTCACTGCTCAGCCAGCCCCATCTCTTCTCCAGCCCTCATATTCAGTGTTGCGGCGTCTCGCCATTCACCCCAAAACTCAGCTCACACCCATTCCATTGGCCCCCAGAGCTCAGCAGGTAAGAGAGGGCAGGGGAGGTAGCTGGCACAGGAAGGGAATGGATGGGTACAGGAAGAGTTATGACATCTCACTTCTGCCCCAGGCCCGATGTTTGAGTGGCCTCTCTCCTCAGTCTTGCCCTGAAGAGCCTGCCCTGCCCTGGGTAAGTGCCCAAAGCCTTCCCATTCTGAAATTCCTCACTGTTCTATCAGTCTGAGGTCCAGCAGTTTGTGGCAGGTGGGCTCTCTGAAAAAGCTACCTAACTCTCCAACTCTTCCTGCTTCTCTACTATTTGTCCTCATCTCAGTCTAGGGCCTCTTAGTTAGGGACCTGATCCCTTCCTCATGAGGGTAGGACTCAGACTGGTCTTCTCATGCCAGCCAGGCTTCCTCACGTGGTCCCTCTCTTCCCATGTGGCAGGAGCAGATTGCAGTCCGGTTATTTGACCAGGAGAGTTGTAAAAGGTTACAGGAGGGGCCTGGGAAACCACCTGTGGCAACTCCTCATGAACCCCACCCTAGTAGAACCCCTAACCTCCAAGAGCTGAAGATGCAGGTGGGTTTTTATAGGCAACCATTTTGACACCTGATGGGCAGTGACAGGGCTGGGGAAGGGAGAAATGGGAGAGAGGGTATAGGAATAGGACAGTGTGGGTAGAGACTTGAACCCACATCTTGACATCACACTGGGGTATTCTCTTCCACCCACAGCGCATCAGTATCCTGAAGCAGCTTTTGCAACAGGAGGTAAAGGGGCTGGCAGGGAGCAAGTGTGCCCCCCTTAATGGAGGCTCCTCTCTGGATATGGTTGAACTTCAGTCTCTGCTGGCAGAGATTCCTAGAACTCTGAATGCCCCAGAGCATAATTCTGGGGCTTTCCACCTTCCTGAACTGTTACAGCACTCTGAACTGCCAAAGCCTTGCTTTCCAGAGTGTGGGGAACCACAGCTCTGCCCTGGAGCAGAGCCTGATGTTGCTCAGCCCTGCCCTCCAGCAGAGCCAGGGCCCCCAGAGTCCTGTCATAGGAGGGAGCCTGAGATACCAGAGCCTACCACCCAGAAACAGCCTGAGGTATCTGAGGCCTGCCCTCCAGTAGAGCCTGGACCCCTTCAGGCCTGCTCCCAGGGGCAGACTGGACTCCTAGAGCCCTCTCCTAGGGTAGAGGCTGGGGCATCAGAGGCCTGCTCCCTGGAACCTAGGAGTACAGAGTCCAGTCCACAGCCCTGTTGCTGTCAATGGGCTCCAGCGACCACCAACGTGATCCCCTCCCAACGCCCACTTTGTGCCAGCCCTCCTATCTGCTCACTTCAGCCTCTGAGGCCTCCAATAGGCCAGGCAGGTAAGTGGTTGGGAGGGGCTTTGAATAAAGGGGGTCCTCATGTTGCTGGGAGTGGGACCTAATTAGTGTGCTCCTAATTGGCTTGCCTCTTGATGGGGGATTGAGAAGGGGCAATATAAGGTGAGAGTTTAGGATGCAGAGCCCACCCTGAACTCTGGCCCTCGAACCCCCAGGCCCCAGCAGTCTGGCTCCTCGAACCGTAGCCCTGAGGCAGCGCCTCAAAGCGTGTCTTACCGCCATCCATTGCTTCCACGAGGCCCGCCTGGATGATGAGTGTGCCTTCTACACCAGCCGAGCCCCTCCCTCAGGCCCCTCTCGGGTCTGCACCAATCCTGTGGCCATGCTATTGGAATGGCAGGATGCCCTGGTAAGCCTCCCCATCCACAGCCAGGCTGTGCCTGTACAGCAAGCCTGTGGGAAGTAGGAAGCAGGGCAGGGAGCCAGCCTTGGCTCCTTTACAAAGGTTAGCGGGGAGGGGTTGACTCAGTTCAAGGATGGCTGGGCTGTGATAAAGTCTTTCTCTCTCTCCAGTGTTTTATTCCAATTGGTTCTGCTGCCCCTCCGGACTCTCCAACATGAAACACCCACCTCCACCCGCTCCAGCCCTGTCTTGATCCTTCCTTTCAGCCCTTATTTATTGTCATTGTTGGTCCACCCCATGTGATTGGGAGTTGACACCCTTTTGTCCTTCAATAAAGTTTCTAAAGTGTCCAAATGTTTGCTTCCCGCTGGTCTGACCTGGGCCAGCTACTGCTGTTGCTCTCCAGTTGCCCACGTGGTGGCAGTGTCCTCCAGCTTAGAGCCAGCCCTGGGCTCTCAGGGTCCCCCACGCAACCTCACCTTGGATCTGTCCTGAAGGGAGGAAGTCATCCTACTCTTGTTCACCCCACCTGCTCAGCAAGCTCTATGAGTATGTTGGGGGACATCACTCATTGTCCCCTTTGGGGACCTGCTCTTCTCCCTGGTTTTTGAGATCAGTACCACTTCCAGAAGCCATCAGCAACTCCTTCATCCCCTAGAGCTCCTCTTCTTAGAACTCTCCCTGTATCAGGCAGAAAACTGAACACTGGATCCATATCCTTGGAACCCTCCCCTGTTAATGTCACTCTGGTTGGTGTCTACCTATAGCCTAAGGCTGGAAGCTCTCCTGAAGCTGCTACCGCCCCCCTCCCCCTTCCCACATCGCAGCAGAAGCCCTGGGCTACTCCCCTCCTCCTCCAGAGGCAGGCTTGCTGGGAAGAACTAAACTTTTGCCTCAGGCTAGGTGGGTGGGAGTCCTCCAGAGGAGTATGGGTAAGGGTCAGCCCCCAGTCCCCACTCCGCACCAGTTAAGAGGCACACACATTCTCTAATGTCACTTTATTGGAAGAGGCAACAGCAGCTGTAGCCCCAGGGCTCAGCCCAGATGGGGGTGAAGTGGGGACTGTACAGAATGAGTTTCAAATGCTAGGAAAGAATTCACTGGTTCCTCCAGTTCACAAGAAGGCTGCCAAGGCGGGAGCCTGGAGCCTGAAAAATGGGGATGGCAAGAGTTTTTATGACAGAGGACCAGCGCCTACTCCCGCCCTAACGTCTCCTCCCACCTACATGGGCTCCTTCTATCTGCTCTCTGCCCCCCAAAATGCCAGGTGTGGCTAGTAAGGCTGTTCCCCAGCTCCGGAGCGGAAGAGAGGGCCATGAGCCCCTCCGCACCTCATCAGACCGGCTCTCACGCGCCCCACGCACACAGATGCGGGTGGTCCCTTCCCCAGCTGCTCTGCTCCTCTGGCCGGGCCTCCTCCGCCCTCTAGCCTCTCATCCCCCGGAGCACCGAGTCCGCCTCTTTGCCTCGGGAGCAGGCAGGTCTGTCCCCCACCGCCAGGCTCTCAAAGGATGGGGTGGCGCCTTGGATGGGGCCGATTGAAAGTGGGTGAGGAGGGAAGCGAAGACGAAGGGCAAACGAGGGGCGTGGATGGGGCCCGGCTCAGTCCGGGTAGATGATGAAGCCGGAGAAAGTGCTGTACTTGTTGGTGTTCCCGCCGTGCACCTTTCCGCCGTCCAGCTTGATGAAGACTTCGTCGCCCACATCCAGGTGCAGGATGACGCTGTTGCTGGCGTAGTCGTAGTTCTGGTCTGCGTCCTGGGCAATAGCACTGGCCCGGACCTACCGAGAGAGAACAGAACAGCCGCTTCACCCCCTGTGCAGAGCTGGGGTGATGAGAGGGGTCGGCCGAGTAAGTGCAGCTGGGCCTGTGAAGGCAGAGCGAGAGTAGCTGGCTGCAGGCGCTGGGGGGGAAGGAGAGGCCAGGAGATGGCTGAGCTTCTCAGTCACCACCATTCACCAGCTGTGCGACTCAGGCAAGTTTCAGGCCTTCTCTAGTCCTCAATTTGAGCTGTAAGGTGGGAGGTAATTATAGAACCTACCTTCTAATGTTGTTTGGATTAAATGAGTTACTACATGTGAAGTGTGTTAGAAGAGTGTTTGGCTAAATGCTATAAGCCTTTGCTATTATTATCATTTAGAAAATAAAATTAGCCTGTAGGATAATTTCTAAGATTCTGAACCCCCTGTGGCCTCCTAAACTTGCATTCCTATCCCCAAGTGAGAGGTGTGTCCATGAGTATGCAAAGGTGTGGGCCTTAAATGGGAAGGTACAATGATGCATTCTTGCTTTGGGGTGTCCATTTCCCTCCTAGTTCCCTCTGGCATACCAACGTGGGGGTCGCCTTCTGCCCCAACAGGTAGCCCCTCCTCCCCTCTGGTCTCGCTGCTGCTGGTTGCCACCAGCCCCGGCCCCCCCGCAATCCCCCTCTTCCTATCCCGAGGGGGCTGGTTATTAACTCATTAATTATTCATCATTATTCTAATCACTATTTACCGTCCTCAGGGCCCGCAGTGCCCGTGCTGTGCAATACTGAGTGGGAGCCTTGCAGCCCTGGCCCCCTTGGAAACCGGCACACTCTAGATACACACTGGCCCCTCCACCCACTCACAGATATCCCCTCCACCTACTCACAGATATCCCGCATAGACCACACACACCTGCTCAGTGACACAAGCAGATAGACACACTCTTTGTTCACACCTTCATACCACCCTGGCACCCACAGACACACTCGCATCACCACACTCACACTCCCTTGCACACATGCTCTATCGCACTCCCATACAGACACACACACACTCTCATGCCCTTTCCCTGGGTTCCTGGGGCGGCCCTGCTGGGAGGAGACCCCAATGCAGTGCCTGCAGGTCTTGGAGCAGGTGAGTGCTATAGCCTAGCAGAACCCAGGTTTCCCACAGCCAGGATGAACAGGCGGATGCATCACTGCATGGTCAACGCCACCCAGTCGCGTGGGCATTCAGAGGTCACCGCTAAGTCCCAACCTTACCCCCAGATGCTAGTGCGGCCCAGACACCTAATCCAACCCCCACACCTAAGGCTTCTCACTCCCTCTGTGTGTGTCCGGGTCCTGGAGCTAAATCCTTGGGGCTATTCTCCCAAGCCAAGGAGGCAGTGACTCCAGCTGTGACCACAGGGTCAGGGAGCAGCAGAACCTGGAGGCCGGAGGTTGCCAGGGAGGATGTGCGGCCTACTGGACTAGGCCCCACACCTTCTGCTTTGCCTTTCCTCCTCCAAACCCGTCCTTTGCCTCTTTCCTTCTCCAAATCCGTTCCTCCAAGCAGGCTGGCTGGTCTCTTGAGCTACCAAACCATTTCTCACCTGCGCTTACTGACTCAGTATGAGCTGAGCGGAAGGCTGCCCTAGAATTGGTTCCAGGCCCTGGGACTAGCAATAGAGCTGATGGTAAATGAGCCACTATTTTCCTTCTTTTTTACCTTTTCCTAAAAAATCCAAGCTGAATGCCCCCACACCGGAGCGCCTGCCACATGTGCACTGCCTGTGACCTGGCAGCCTGGCGTTCCTGGATTCAGCGACGCTGTTTTGGGGAAGGGGATAGGGTTGTGTGATGCAGAGACATTTAAGAAGCTGCCGGGCGAATCTGGGGCTGGGGGGGGGCTCTCACCTGGCCGTTCTTCATCAGGTCAGCCCACATGCTGGTGCCGTCGCCGCCGCGCATGAGCACATGGTAAGCGAAGAAGTAGACACCCGGCATGGGGCAGGTGAACTTGCCGCTGGCCGCCTCGTAAGCGTTGCCCACGTTAGTTACCACGTCGTCGAAGCGCAGCACCTCGTAACCCTCGTGTGGCCGCCGCAGGCCCGCGTAGAAGGCAATGCGAGGCACGTAGCCGGCAGGAGGCGCCACCCCGCCGGGGCCTGGGCCAGGAGGGCCCGGGGGACCTGGCCTGCCGGGCTCTCCGGGTGGCCCCCTGGGACCTGGAGGTCCTGGGGGCCCTCGAAGACCTGCCTTCCCGCGCCGACCTACCTCTCCCTTGGAGCCCGGGGGAAAGGGGGACACGGAGACGGGCGCGCCGTCGGGTCCTGGGCCTCGAGACCCATGCGGGTCGCATACCATGCGACAACGACCCAGCATCTCGTAGTGCGCCGGCCCCCGGGAGCTGTGTACCAGCAGTGGAATAGCCACCAGCAGCAGCAGCACCATGGCCACCCCGACGGCCGCGCCCGCCACGCGCTTGCGGCGGCTCAGACGCGAGGCGGCCAGGGCCAGCAGATCTTCCTCACTCTTGGGCGCAATGGTGGCGGAGGCTCGGGGCTCTCCGCGGGCCCGGGAGGCGGTGGCCGGGCTCGCGCCTGGGTCGGGCCAGCCCCGACGGCTGCGCCCAGTCCCCCCCGCCCCTGTGGGCTCCCGCCTCAGCTGTGCGGTTCCCCAAACCTTCCGTCAAGGCGAAGGTCTCGCGTGGGTTGGGCCAGGCGCAGCTCCCGACGGATCAGAGCCCGGGGTCCTCTATTACCCTCCTGTTCAGCCTAATGTTCCCCGGCGCCTGACATCTGCGGCTTCTCGGACGGCTGGTTTCTTACAGGTTTCGGATGCTTGCTCTCTGGACAGCTTCTTTCTCAAGGATGCCGGAGCCTAGGTCCCCAGCTACCCAGACTGATCTCTCGTGGCCGGAGCGGAGACTACTGTCCGCGCTCTGGACGTCCCGGGCTCTGCGCTGAGCGTGGCACCCACTGGACTCGACCTCCTCGTAGGTTTGCGCTCTGGCTCTCGGCGAGCACTGACCCGCCTTTCTGCCCCACGCGCGGCCCCAGCCCCTGCTGGAGCCCTGGCCCCGCGTGTCTCTCTGGTAGCTCACTCCCTCTCTGCGTCCCTAACCTTCCTCTGCTCGCTCCCAGGGCGGCAGTGCCGGCGGTGTGAGCAGCTGCGCTCCGGGAGCCGCTATAAGCGGCCCGGGGCGGAGCGACCCCTGGCGCCCGGAGCGGGAAGCGCGGGGGCGGGGCAGGCACCGGCCCCCACCCTCGGACCCCCGCCTCTCGGTGGATGCTGGGCTCTGAGCGATTCTGCAGGGGTTCATTGCTCCCACCTATCCTTACTTTCACCCTGTACCCCGAGTTGGGTGTTCCCAGAGCCCAGAGGAAGCCAGAAATAGCGATGGGATAGAAAGAGGTGGGGATGCACACAGAAGAGACAGGTGGATTCCTGAGCTGAAAAGAGCCACCACCACCACCCCAAAAAAAAGAAAAAAGAAAGAAAAATGGAAATAAAATCCAACAAGCAAACAAACGAAAAAGAAGGGAGAGAAAAAAGAAATTCGCCACCCCAGACCCCTCAGTGCCCCTGACCGAAAATCATATGGTAAAGGGTTCAATGGTACATGTTGGCTTGAACTAGAAAAGGCAAATCTCCAGCCTCGACCCCCAGCACTGGGGAGCGCAGAGCCGCCGGGACAGCGAGGGAGCAAGAGAGAAAACAGACCAGCCTGTGGAAGCCAGCAGGAAACCGACAGGAAAGCAGGAGGGGCGACAGAAATCAAAGAGACAGAAAGCCAGATAGAGACGCAGAGACAGAGACAAAGCTTGGAAAAGAGACTAACTGACAGCCCCAGAGGGGGAGAGGGAGAGACAGAGACGGAGAGAGAGAGACAGGAGCCGAGACAGGTTGACAGATCGAGAGAGAAATGTAAATGGCGCGCTGCAGAGAGACACCCTGGTCCGTGTTCGGACTCCAATGTGACATATCAACTGTGGGGAAGACGCGGGGGCGGGGCGGTTCTTCAGCAGAGAGGTAGGCTCTGGGCCTGTGCATTGTGACAGTGTGCTGCCAGGTGTGGACGTGGCCATGGGGGCCCTGGCCTTGTGTGTCCCTGGGTGAGTGGGATTATTGTGGATTGTTTTGTCCTGGTGTGTGTATGTGTGAGGGCTATTTGAAGGGAGGTTTTGTATTTGTCTTCCTCTTAGCCCTTAAATGTGGGACTCTAAGAATGCCATCTTTCCTTCTCAGGACCGGAGAGTAGAGAGTCTACTGGGGAAGAGAATCAGAAGGCAGCTTGTCCCTTGTCCAGCCCAGCCCAGCCTAATTCCAGCCCTGCCCTAGTCCCAGATTTTGTCCAGCCCTAGGATCTCTGCCACCTTCCTTCCCCTTTCCTCATAGATCTATGATTAGATAGAAACCCAGAGAAGTTGGACCCCCACATAATAATGTTTGGAGGAGGGGTGTGAAGTTGGTTATACAAATTACCATAACCAAAAATAAAGATTAAGTGCTAAGCATCCTCCTGTGGGAGGTGACTGTGTCTACCATTCCCCATGACCAAGAGGAAACACGCTTTGATAGATCCCTCTCTGTGAGGGGTCAGAGTCCAGAGAAAAACTAGGAGCTGCATTCTTCCTTAGCGTCTGGCCCTTCTGGGGGAAATTGCTTGCTTATAGGGACCCCAGGGCCAGAGGCTTGGAGAAGGGGCTCCAGGGCTGGCAAAGTGGGGGTGTTTGAAGACCCTGGAGGTGGACAGCTGCAAAGGGCCTCTTAGACTAGGATAAGCCAGGACCGTAATGTATGGGAATATAGCGTGTAAAATGAAGGACACAGGCACAGCAGGGCATGATTATTGGGTGAAGGTGATTTCCTCATTTCTTGTTTACTGCACCCCTTTTCTGCCTCTCCCAGCCCATAATGGTGCAGGGAGGAAGAGGCTGCTGAGGCTGGGCCTGTGTGGAGGGAGGCCCCTACATGCTTGAAAGGGTTGGAAGAGAAAGAATTGGCAGTCAGTGGGGGAGGGGCCTCCTCCTCCAACCATAAATACAAATTTTATTCAAGGTCTTTGTCGCCATTTGTCTTCCTCGGGGGGCTGAGGGCCATGTCGGGCCCGTGCATGTCTAATTCCAGATCTGCTCCCTCAGGCTGGATGATGGATGGATCAGAGAGGAGAGAGCAGTCCAGGGCTCACATCAGCCTCTCCTGCCTGATCCTCAAGGCCCATCGACCTCAGGTCCTGCCACTCTCCTTCCTCTTCCCCACTCCCTCCATTCACCAGAGGCAATCTTTGTTCAGCCCCACTCTGCACCCCACTCTCCTACTCACCAAAGCCCTCCTTTTGAGCTCCTCACCTCAGCCCTCTTCTCTCTGGAGCTGCCCTCTCCTATCCCCAGCCCAGGCTATGAGCTGCGGTGACCAGCAGGCTGCAGGCGGCAGCGGGCGTGTGTGTGGGGGGAGCAGGCTTGGCTCACAGGGAGCTGAGGGGCCAGCTCCATGAATTTATTCATGTTCTGTTGCTCTTTCCCCACGCTCTGGAATGAAGCTGCCAGCTCACCAGGTCCTTATTGCTTCCCCTGCAGCTGTCAAAAGGAGGAATCTGGGTAGGGTCAATGCCAGTCAGTGCTCCTGAGGCCAAAAGCCAAGTGTCTGGGCTCAGGAGGAAATTCTGGGGCCCAGGCTGGGATCTGGGATGATGTACCCAGAGCTCCCCAGGCAGCCAAACTGGGAGGCCCTAGGAAGGTGATATGGTTGGGAAGGGGAGATAGGCAGAGAAGGTTGTGCTATGGGACATAGAAGGGGCAGTGGAGGTGGGGACAAGGCTGATGGGGGAGAGGAAGCCTTTAAAGAGTTCCCTAGGCACAGCCTAGTCTGAATCCTGCCTTAACCTCCAATCTTGACTCTGCACTAACCCTGACCCTAACCCCAAATTATACACTTGACTCCTCTCCAGTCCTAATAGGAACCTTAACTCCATAGCCTTACCCTAAATGGAACCCCTCCCCGCAGGTCCTGTCCTGGAACCCAAGGTTCTCTCATGAATTTTCCCCAGGGCTTACAGCCAGGTGTACTTCAGAGTTCTGAGGACCAGACTTTTGATTAGCATGTGATTAGCATTTGATTTGCATGTAATATATATCTTCTACTCTGTGGAAGTTTTCATGTTAAAATTTTATGAAGTCTAGCAGAAAGGTCCTGGCTTCTTGAAGGTTCTCTCTTTTTGTTCTTTCTCCCACACCCCTTATCACTGATCCCAATGCCCTAAGGGAAAATAAAAGGGGTAAGGAGATGAGCAATATAGGGCTCATGGGAGGGAAGATTCTGGCAGTGTGATCTGTTCCTGTCATTTTTGGTGTAACCTCCACAAGCCTCAGTTTCCTCATCTGTAAGAGGAGAGGAACCAGCTGGCTGGTGTTACATTAAGATCTAAGGAGGCACTTTTTTCCTTGCACTCTTTCCTTCCCCAATTTTTAGAGTCATTCATGGTGTGATTCTCCTTCCTCCCCACCCCATACATTCTGATTTTCAGCTCCCACATCTAAGATGACATAGGATTGGAAGCAGCCTGGGTTGCCTGGTACCAGATTCTTGATATGAAGAGAAAGAAACATAGTCCACTTGATGGCATGGAAAGGGAAATAGCATTATTGGGTGTTTACTGTATGCTAGGGCTTTTACATGCAAGTTCTTACTGCACCCTCACAGCACCCTGAGAGGTGGATATAGTGTCTCCATTTTACAGATAAGGAAATGGTCCCAGAAAGGGAAAATGAAAGTGGCAGCTCTGAAACTAGAGTTCTAATCTCCTGGCTTCCTTGGAGAAGAGAAAAGGCACCTGACGCAATGGAAGGGTGAGAGAAGCAAGACAGGAGTGTGGCGTGAGGTTTGAACTCCTGTCAAAGGGGAGACCTGTGTGTGAAGCCAGCAGGGTAGGTACCTGGCTCAGGGTAGCCCCCATCTCCAATCACCAGCGCTATGGAGACTGACTAACACCCAGGGGGTGTTCAATTTCTAGTTAACAGATGTCGGTGGACGTTAGCTGCAGAGAAGAGCTGTTCCGAGGGAAGAAAAAAGAGGTAGGTAGAAGGAAACGAAGCGAAACTGAGGGAAATGTGCTCAAGAGGTGACAGGGAGGAGAGCTGGTCAAGAGGGCTGAGGATGGCTCTCCTCCCATCACCAGGAGGAAAGCAGCCAGGATCCTAAACCCTGCATGCACTTTGCCCCCTTGCACAAAGGGTCGGCAGGCCTCAGCCGCCGGGGAGAGGGCGCGGGCACCGCGCGGCCTAGGGCTTCCACTCCTCTGCCGCAGGAGCCCCGGGAACCGCAGCTCCCGCAGCCTTGGGTTCGGAGCCCCGCGCCGGCGCCCACAGGGCAGAGGACGCGCTCTTGGCTCCACAGGGATTGCGTCCGAGGTGTCTGTCAGACCACAGCCTGCTAGCTTCCGCAGCCCTTGA